ATTATCGAATCAAGCGGTTCGAAAGGTTCGAAAGATTTCGATTTTCTATATCGTAAAATGTGACGGAAGTCGAATTTTCGACGCCTTTCGAACCATCAAACTTATTACGCTAAAAAATTCCATCCTTTTCGAACTTATGACGCTGAAAAATTCGATGCTTGTCGAACTTGCGAATTTGACTGACCAAAAAATTCAATGATTTTCGAACTTTCGAACTTCTTGCACTAAAAAGTTCGAAGCTTTTCGAACTTTCGATTTCCCATGCTAAGGAATTCGATAATTTTTGAACTTTCGAATTTATTTATCAAGAGAATTTGAAAGGTTTCGAACGTTCGAATCCTGAAAAGTCAGACGTTTGACGAACTTTGAACTTTTAGGGTAGAAGTTCGACGTTCGTCGAACTTCGAAAGATCGGCGGACGGTTTCATTTGAATTCAAGTAGTGAGGTACATTCGCAATTTTTTTTCTCTCGAACTTTTACGTGCGGTGCTGCGTTCCTTACGAAAGACAATGCCTTTTATGTCAATGTTCTGGCATGCTTAGTTTTAAAGAAATAAATTCCCGAAGGGGCGAGGAAGGACGACGGGTTTTGGACGATTATCGTTTGTGCCAGATTTGAAGCGCGCTGTAGCCGAAGCTATTTATGGTAGAGATGTTAAACTTTTTAAGAATGGTCTATGTATAGCCTAGGTAAGTGTCGTCTTAAGATATGATTGTTGATATTCAAGGTGAGTTTCGAAGAAATGTCCAAACATGTATCTACATGCAATTATGCCCTAAACTTGGTATTTATTTTCGTCTAAGTTGTTTGAGGTATCGCATTTAAATTAACACCACAGACATTACATATCATTGCCATCTGCAAAATACAAAATAATGTATTTATTGTTTTTTCACGTTAAGGAATAAATTAACTCATGGGAGAAGATTTCTAGTATTGTTCAAGTTCAGCACGTCATTAAAAGAAAACTTTTTTTTTTTTTTTCGCTTCACGTTCCTGGGACGTGTTTCTTTTAGCCTGTACACATTTTGGTAGGAGAAACTTGTTTCGAAGTTCTAAACCTATGAATATGCAAGAATGCAACACTTCCGGCGAATTCTTGATAGTTTTTTTCCTCCAGGTTTTTATCCCCGCATTTATTAACATGTTTTTTTTTTTTTTTGACTATTGGCACAGTTATTTAGGTCGAAAAGACATAGCTTTGAACTTCCGAACCACTAAGCATGTGACGAGTAGTGCCTTCTGACAACAAGTTTCTAACAATGACCATCTACGCCATCTTCTATGCAGTGAAGAGCGACAGTAGCTATACATATGCATAAATAATTTCAGATTAAAATAAGCCCGACCACGCCCTCTTTCCCCTTATTGTTTTCTTCAACAGTCCGAATCTTCTAGAAGGAGGGCTGAAGCCCCCCCCCCCCTTCCCCCCCCCCCCTCCCCCCCCCCCCCCCCCCCCCCCCCCGAGAGCAAGAGCAAGACACGGGTGGCCGATTATCCCGCGTCTTAAACCCCCCGGCGAGCCGTGAACCAAGTCCTATCCCGAGCCCGGCAGAAAAACCCACAATACGAGCGAGCAGCGCAAGGACGAACCTCGGAAATACACCACGAAGAACCTGGAATCTGAGCCAGTCGCTGCTACCAGCAAGAACCACCGGAATCAGGTCTTTTGCCAGAAAAACCGAAGCTGACTAAGCCAACAATGACAAACCTGTAGCGGCAAACCGCGTCCGCTCCCACCATAGTTTGCATGCCCGTCGCACCTCGCACTCTGATGCCCTTTCACGCTAGGTGTATGAAGACGTCGAGGGCTGGATTGAGCAATATGACCGGGTCGCCCGCCAGTGTGGGTAGACGGACAACCAGCTTCTGCAGAACCTATACTTCTCGTGGAAACTGCCAGGCCCTGGTTTGAGAACCACGAATCCTCCTTAAAGTCGTGGGAAGTTTGCAAGATCGAGCTGAAGTGCATGTTTACCAGCCAACATTGACGAGAGAGAGCCGAATTCCTGATTCTGTCCAGGACACGGCCCCGACGAGAGCGTCACCACCTTCGTGGAGGATGTCTTGCGCGTCATCGAGCACCCACGCCAGCCGTGATGCTAGAGAAGACAAGAAGCTAAGAATCCCATGTGCCCCCTGTGAGAAACAACACCTTCGGCAGCCTTGTCCGCAACCCCACGACAACAGTCGAAGGGTTCATATCAGTGAGGCTTCCAACATTGAATGTGCACTGCAGGCCCCAGCCTGTCAATATCAACAACTCCCCAGCGTCTCAACACTCAAATCGTCCAGCTGCAACTTCGGCGCCAGCCCCCCAGGCATCCGCGACATCATCCACAACGGTGTCCGGGGGGAGATAAGGAAGCTAGTTCCTGCCATCAGTTGCCCAGCTTTTATTTTGATTGCCGAGATTGTTTCGGAACAAGTTCGTCAGCGTTTTCAACTGGAGACTTCTTCGAGCGAATCGGCATCTGACGAACCGAGGGCGACTTATGCCACAAAGTCACAACGACCACCATTGGCTACCCGTTACTATTCAATGACAGTTCAACGAGACATCCCAACGCCGAAGCATTCCCGACATCGGGAAGAACTAGTGTAGGTCCGCGCTGAACAAAGTACACCGAGGAAAACGGAGGTGTTGCTAATGGCCGACCGAAAACCACTCTGCTAATGGCCGACCATATCTACTGGAGGTGCCAGTACCAATGAATTGGCCTGCAAGGGTTCGTGCCGAACGACCGTCGACCACGTCTCGACGAGCGTCCGCGAAAGATTGAGGATAATCTTCGGCGGTCTTTGTCCCTGGTGCCGACATTACCCCGAAGCTTGTGATCCCCTTCATCTAGATGGGAGGTAAGCACGACAAAGCAGGTGAGCGGCAATGCAAGGAGTTGATTTGGTGTCGGCTGTCGTTAAAGGACAATAACTAATAATTTGCTGACACTAATATCTATGTCCACGCCGCAAAGTACACAATTTCCAACTTTGAGGGAGAATGCCGCTGAGTGACTTGAAGAAATAGAATTGTTGGTTGCTGTCAAAAGTGGACTGCAAGTATCACCAGACTGCACTTTTCCACACGAGACTTACACAAGTTGCAGTGGTCGCGGGATGGAGAATAAATCGCCATTACGAAATGGAAGTGAAATGGCTTGGATAGCAAACAAACATTGGTGCCAGCTATCAAGTCAACGGTACAGCAAAAGGCACAGCCACGTAAGCAATACACGCCCAAGCTTGCTGCATTGATGCAGAAAACTACCAGGAAAATTTGCGGATTAGAAGCCAGCCCTGCAGCTTCAGTGCATCAGATGTCAGTGGCCGCACATGACGTATGATTACACGACTGCATCAGTCAGTCAAAGTTACTACTCGACCAAACTGTACACCTACGTGCCAGGAGCGTCATCCGACAACATTAATGTTCACAGGTACTACGACTGAACGCCTGACACGAGATTGTCGCAGAAAGAACTCGTTATGGAACCATTTACTAAGAATCAATAATTATGTAATCAAGTGGAAATAAACATATTTGATACACTAACCAGATAAACATATTTCCGCTTGCCTTTACGTTTTGAGAGTCTATACACCAAGAATTGTGTTCACTGCACTTGCAGGTCCTTTTGAGGACACTCGCATCTCTGACCCTTCAATGTTGTCAGAATGACAATTGATGAGGCAATGTCAAATGAAGAAACTAAACGTTTAATGGGGCGAACTTGTGCCCAGAACAAAAAGGGAACAGAAGAAAACAACAGAGCGTCGCGGGCGTCGATGTCGCCGAAACCGCAGGATCGAGCGCCGGGGCGAGACTGACCTTGGCTCGCCACGCGAAGCCCCATGTACACGCGTGGGCTTCTGGAATGGTCGGCGTAAAAGGTTCGACGCGTAGAACATTCTAACCTCTAACCTGTGACTATGCAGTTACCCAGGGCAGAAACAAATTCCTCTAGGCCCTACATCCGACGCATACATTTCGCGTCGACTCTCAGGCATTCCAACGTTCAAACAAAGCTAAGAGAATGCGAAAATTTCATGCTAAAAGCACTCAAAGTTCTATCGATCCTCGAACACATCCCGGAATCTGAGCACCGGTAGCGATACGGCTGTTGCGGTCTCACAGGTGTTAATACTCAGATGATCCAGAGCGATCTTGCGGAAAAAGGGTATAAAGTCTCAGTCCTTCATATTTTCACATTATGCCTGCGTCAGCGAGCGCGAAGAAGCCCGAAGTCGTCGCCGGGAAAGCAGCTGGACATCACGGCTACCGCGCACCGAACAAACTCGCATCCACCAGCTCTGGGCGCTGCCATCTTACCTGTGACGTCGCGGCTCATGGGAGGTCACGTGACGAGTGGTCACATTTGCGTACATCATGGCGGCAACCGGGGGGTTGCCACTTCCGAACTTCCGGTTTATCACTCTAAGCCCCTCTACCTCGTGGGGTGGCATACACTTCGCGCGAATCTGGATTGGCGACTCCGGCGAAATCGACGGCACCTAGCGGTTAGAAGAAAAAGCTGTGGCGGTATGTCCGCTCGCTAGCGTTTCCAAGCAAATCAGATATTCAGAACGCCTGGTGGACCAAAGACGAAACCGTGAAAGGAGGTTCAGAAACACGTGCTAAAAATCGCCAGTAGGCTTTGTTAAAACTTCGATGGGAAGCCTGAAAGGGAGAGAGGGTACTGGAAGCGAGACCATCGGCATGAGCGGAGCGGAGCAAATAGACAGAGTTAGAATAGGGAACACATTTGGGCCCTCCAGCAGCTTAGAGCGTCGGAGAGAGCGCGCAGTGAAGTGCCCCAAGTTGCTTGGGGTACTCGAAGTATTTTGTTCGTAAATATTGTCCATAAGAGTCTGCTGTCGATTTAAACGACGACTAGAAGCCCTTTCATCTGGTAAAACAGAAGAAAGAACCCTTGATCGTTGTTCTGATCGCCGGTAGATGAGGTGATTCGACGCAGCGCACCCTCCAGGTGCACAATACCTCAAGTACGCCATCTGGTTCTCGTTTAGAGTCTGCTCCAGGCCAGCCCCGGAGTTGAAGTAGGCTCCGGAGACAGGGTCCAGCTTGGCCCTTGCGAGACGCTCGATGTCGTCCAAGGTCACCACAATGTCATCCACCTCCGGTGAACTGGGTACTGCCATGTTGGGTTGCGTTCAGACTACTCTCGGTCAGATTGGTCTGTTCCGTTCAGGCTTGGCGTGGTAGGCCGTGGTTAGGTATGATTAAGTTGTATTAACAATGCTTAGTTTCACTTAGATCAAAAGAGTCAAGGCAAGTGCCCGGGTTACGAAAGTACGAAAGAAAGCTTCAAACGCTATATTTTAGAAGACCGAATAAGTGCTCCTTACTGCGAGTGCTGTTTCTGCCCTCTACAGTGGAGTTGCACGCCATCGGTCTGTGAGAGATTTGTGTCAACAGCCGAAGCGCCCAGGTGGTCGGAAAGCAGCTGTATCATTTAGTGCTGCGTAGTGAACCACGTCAAAGACTTTGATTTTATTTATTTTATATCTGACTTGGATCTCTCTAACATGCTTTTCGTTCCCGGACCACCTGCACAGTAGTGTTTCAAAGCATTTGAAAGTGAAATGTTTCAGAAAGCGTTTTTAGTTAGTCTACACACCAACAAGGGTGAAGCTTGCAATTTAAAGTTATTATTATAATACAATTAAATGCAAAGGTGCAAGCGAGCTGGACAAGAATGACGAAAGTAATCCCTGGAGAAGGGGAACAAGAGGGACAAAGGACAAACATAAATCTCCAAACACAGCTTTTCGGTCGCTCACCAGTCACCTAGCTGTGTTTGGAGATTTATGTTTGTCCTTTGTTCCTCTTGTTCCCCTTCTCCAGGGATTACTTTCGTCATTCTTGTCCAGCTCGCTTCCACCTTTGCATTTAATTGTATTATAATAATCCTCCTTTGTGCAGCCCGGATTTGCACAGGCGTCGCCATTCTCCTCCCAGAAGATTATAGAAGATCAACCTGTCACAAAAGCAGCTTCCCTCTCCTCCTTTTACTTGGTGTTCAAATGTGTGCGATGTGACGCCAGTGCAAGGAGCCTATACCGCAAAACAAAAGAAAACAAAAGAAAAAAAATAGATCGTTCGAATATGTTGTCATATGGTAAGTACATAGCCGGTGTATGACGATTGGCCCAAGTGCAAAGTCCTTGTCTGAAATTCCCCTCATCAATAGCCAGGCGCATCTCAATGACCCTGCTTCATATTCATCTCGTCCGAGTCGAAATACCCGTCATCACTGTCCCGCTCTTACATTCCTTTTTGGCACTGTGACCGGCATTATTCCACGCCTTCATCCTTATCTCTTACGGGTCTACTCTGCAGTTGACGTGTGAAGTGAACGGAACGATAAGGGAAGGCTGACAATTGAATATTAAAAGAGCCTTGGGACAAAGACAAGTGACCACTTGGCGAAATCTACAGATCGGAGCTTCAGGCATTAAACGTCACACTCGCCAGCAATGAACTGAGTTTTAATGGAGGTACTTCACATGCAAAGGGACAAAGGTGCGCCCTAGACCATCGCTGCACTAGAAATTGAAGGTCAGTTTTTAATTTTAGGAAGATGGACCATATGTTTGGTAGAACGCATGCCTATACATATTCGCCTAAGATCTTAAATGAGGTGATGCTACAAGTCAGGCATCGCTGTTGCTGATGTCTAATGCGGCCAGACACTGAGAATAAAATCAACAGCATCAATTAACTCGCTTGTGGAAAGGTGCTCTTCAACGTGGACGAGTTTCTTTAGAACGTCGCTAAGGCGGCTTGTAGACTTCAATATATAATCATGCAAATGTTATAAATTGCTTTCTTAAAATAAATAAGTATGCTGAAAGGAAATATTAAATATTATATGGATAATTAAGCAAAAATTCACGACAAATCTTCGAAGAAAAAGAAAGCTATGTTTTTTGCGCAACTTTTTTTTAGACTGAGTAAAACGTATTGAAAAAAAAAAAAAAACTAAACAAAAACTTTTAAACGCACGTTGAGGTTTTGAGCTGTTGACAGAAATCGAGTCGTGGACTACTGTAACTCGGGTTTTTGAAAACTGGGCAAACAGAGCGGGGCAATTGCCGCGGGTCATTTGACGCGGGGCTTTTGACATCGGGTGCTTTCGCGCATCACCCGTAGATAGCGTACCGCCCTTATTCGGAAACTTTCGTGCCCGCGTAATATCCCCGAAAACCTTACTTCGCCGCCGAATACGAGAAATCTTGATCCCGCGAAAATAAAGTATTTTAGAGGAGGTAATAAAAGGACGCGACGTCTTCCATGTGAGTACTTTCTTGTGTTTGGTGCCGCCCTTAACGGTTTGGCACATAATTAACAATAAAAAATTCATAATCTCGATCCTACGTAGAAAGAATTAGGCAGAATGCGGGACGAGAGACTTATTTACGTCACGAGATCTGATGTCACGTCACGTGACGCATGCTGATATTACACACGTGACCGTCGTGCGTCTTGTGACGGGATCAGTGTCGCGTGAGCGCAGGACGCAGTGGACACTGTAACGTCACGTCATACCGTGACGTGACTCCGTAAGAACTTGTTATCACGTCTTCATAATATTTTTCTGTGACGATCTAGAGATAGATCAAACCATCAAATTATTTTGCTTCAATAATCGAACAACGTTGTGCGCCTGGATTTGAACTCTGGAGATCGCAGAATTGTATACTGCCTCGGACTATAAGATGACCTACCTGGGTCGACAAACCAAGCTCCCGGGAGAAATTTAATCGAAACAATACTACCCTTAGGACTTCAAAAACGGAGGCAGTGGTGAATAAAGCTGGATTAATCGTTTCAGCAGCGGTAGGCTGTTCGTCAGTCATAGAAGGAGATTTGTTTTGAACTTCTGTTGTGCAGTGTGATACGGGCACACTACATGGCTCGCAGATATTTTTCGATGTATGCTTCATCTTACTATTTGTATGCATGGTTGCAATAGGTACAGTCGGTAGCCGGTGGCGCTCCGTAGTTAATAAAAGGCAGCAATGCTTTCTGCATGCAGTTAGGAAGAAGAGGAGGCGACATACCGGCTCACGCCAGTCAAACAGCTAACCACAAGTGAAGCCGGAACTGAAGCCGGCAGCCAAACGCAGTGCTTACAGCCAAGGGGGTCTCTCGGGGGATCTCAGACCCCTCCCCCCCCCTCCCCCCCTCCCCCCCTCCCCCCGGGATTTCAATGGGGGTCTGGACCCCTGTGGGCAGTAGGTTAAGGTTCCTATATACTGAAAGGTTGCGCAAACCATTGTCTGAAATGGGGAAGAGAAATTCCTCCTTGCCCATTTCCTGCCCCTCTAAAAAAGTATATTTTCCCTTTAACTTCCCATGATTCTGCGCGATTCGGTCCTCTGCTCTGGACTGGCGCCGCAACCTCGGCAGGCTTCGCTACTGGCGACGTTGCGGCCGCCGACGATGTAGATACTTGAGGCACCGCCATATTTGTCGGCGTCGAGAGGAACAAATGCGGCGGAGCGCGCGCCACCGTCTTCCTTTTACCGGCGCGCTGCCGGCGCGTGGAGCCAGAGTTGCGCGTAGCTCCGTAGCGCCGTCTTTCCTGCACGGCATGTTGATCCCGCTCGTCACGTGACTGAACTCGGCGAATAACGGCGCCGCGCGTTCGAGGTGCGCGGCGCGCTCCTGCGTCGCCTAGGAGAGTCGCTCGGAACTTCAAACCCAACGGACGTGTTCTAAAACCGTCCCGACCCGCCACCTTCCCCCTTAGGGGGAACCGCGCAGTTTCCAAAGTTCGTAAGCTGCGCCATTCCCACCGCCCTCGTGCCTTAAAGAGGCAAGGGCAGGCGCAGCCGGAGGCTCCCCAAAAAGGGACCCCGACGACCCCACTGCCCGAGCGAGGCAGCAGGATGTCCAAGATGGCGGACGAGGCCCAGAAAGGAACAGCCGCTCCCGCCCCGCCCCAGGACTCCCCCGTCGCGCACCACACGCGCCAGAGCCGCCGGTCGCCACCTGGAAAGAGTATCATCAGCTCGTCTTCACCAGGGATGAGAATTTTAAGGCAGCTGGCGGCCGCCAGCCAGAAGAGTTTACTTGGACCCCCCCGGACACCGCGGACAAAGGACAAGCAGCTCCCGCCCCCCTGCCCAAGCACCCCGGGCCTGATCCCGATCGGCCCTATTTTTGCGTCCGAGCCGACATGGCATCTCGCTCCACCGTCCCCCGAACACCCCCCGACAACCACCGCCCGCCCAGGCCAACAGGGGGAGCACACGCCCCCCACCCCTTCTCCCGCGCCCCCGAGCACCCCCAGGACAAGCGGCCAGAACCCCCGGGCCACGCCTCCCCCCCCGCCCCCCAGAGGGACTCGGAGGTAGAACCCCCCGCCGCCCTGGACAGGCAGCCAGAACCCCAGGCTGCCGCCTCCTCCGTCGTGACCCCGAACGCAGGTGCGCGCGGAAAGCCCCACCCCCCCTTCCCCCGTGAGCGAGATACAACGCGGGGCAGCATCAGCCCCAACAGCAAGGCTCCAAGAACACCCGCCCCCCAAAAGGAAGGCCGCCGGGAAAAAGAACACCGACAGAGACAACAACAACAACAGCAGCAGCAGCAACAACAACAACGACGACGACAGCAACAACAACAACGGACCACGCCCCCCCTCCCCCACGCGAAAGAAGCCGGGCGGGGCACCCCCAGCGTTTCCCCCTGCGGCCTCGGGCGCCCCGGAGCGACAGGAGCCCATAACGCCGAACGTCACCAGCGAGCGGCCCCCACTATCCAAAGAGGCCCTACAAAATATCAGCGTGACAACCATCCCCACCAAAAACCGCTTCGCAGGCATGACCGACGACTGCGAGGGCGGAGACGGCGATCAACTTGACGGGACCGTGACCGCCACCCCCGCAACAATCGACCCGGCCGAGCGCCGACGCGGCAAAAACAGCAAACAGCAACGCCCCAAAGCAACTCAGAAACCACCCGCGCGGCCAACCATCCGACCAGGTGAGAGGATCACCGT